GGGCGGGAAGCAGGGCAGGTGGGGAGAGGTGGCCCGGGGGCTGCAGGGCTGGCCAGCAGGAAGAGGGGGCGGGAAGCAGAGCTGGGGGAGGATCAGTGGCCAGCAACAGAGAGCCCTGGCCCCAGCTGGCCACTCTCTTCCTAGTGCAGCTGTCCCCCTGTGGTCACTCTGTGTTGTAGGTGTTTACTGGACATGAGGAGTAACAGTTCATTCGAGGGAAGGGTTTTGGATCAGTCTACCGCGTCTACCTGCGGCAAGTTGAATCATGTGACCGGCATTTTAAAATGGCGACTGGCCGCGAATATGCTAATCAAGCACAGGATATTTAAATCCCGTGCTTCATTAGCAACTTCTGTATGCTTCATTTGCCTCCCTAGTTCAAACTGAGGGCAAGTGTAGACATACCCTTATAGTTCTATGTCTAACATACACCGTCTCTCTCTCTCTCTCTCTCACACACTTATCACACACACACACAGTTCTATGTCTAACATACACTGTCACCTTTAAAAAGTGATTTACAACTTTTGCTTAACAGTCCAGGACATATTTTATACTCCTAAAAAGATTTATTCTTTGTTTTCATCATCTTCCTTTATTAAACTGAAGCAGAAAACCTGAAGGCTAAAGCTGTGCCTTGAGAGTCTTTCAACTCCTAAAGTCTAAAATGAAGGTGATTTAGGATAGAGCTGATGATGAATGTTTGATTCGTATTGCTTGTGTTGTCTTGCAGCTCCTTTAGGATGGAGTTTATTGAAGACTTGGTGAAATGGCTAGAGCTGTCAGACGCCGTCTTGCCTGCTATGACTGCATTCGCCAGTGGTTTGGGTAGCGAGGGCACAGAAACCTTTGCTCAGATTTTACTGAAAGATCCTGTCTTGGAAAATAATCCAGTCGTCATTACACAAGTAAGTTCATCTCTTCCTCTCTTCCACTTGGCTTGAGCTTCCTGTTTGTTGTTGAAATTCTCTTTCTGTACAATTGGGTAAAGTAAATCCTGATTCTATATGCATTTAAAACATCTGGTTGCCTCCTGTTTAAAAAAAACAAGGACGGGGGCTGAGAGATAGAGTGACTGACTTTCCGCCCCCTCCATTAATTCATCTCTCTCTAGCGCAGGACTACTCAGCTTTGGAAGGTCCGGCGGTCACAATGATACTCACAGCACATGCCAAGGGCTGCAATTTAAATGTGGTTGCATATACAAGCAAATATATATGCAAATATATGCAAATAGCTTCTTTCACACTAACAGGTATGAATACAAAGATTAAGGCAAGACTACATAGCACACAGGCCCCGTTTAAGTCAGTTCTGATGATATTAATAAAATGCAATATTTACATGATTTCCACCCATATGACAGCACTTTTAATGAGCAATGACAGTCTAGGAATTTAACTATTAAAATGCATATCAACAGAAGACCATTATATTACTACTAAATCGACCCTTGGTGCGTTGTCGCTGGAGAGTCAGTCAGGCTGTAGTGTAGATATAACCACAGTTCTGATGGGACAACTATTCACCTTTTTGCTGCTGCCGTGCTACTGCTCTTCTGTTATCAGGGCCGGCCCACTACATTTTGGCACCTGAGGCGGGGAGCTCAAATGATGCCCCCCCCCTCGCTTGTGCCAAAACTTTGAAAGGTCTCAATTCTGCCTTCTTCCTGTTCTACTCCTCTCATGGTACTGCTCTGCTACCTCCATGTGCACCAGCAGCAGACTCAATTTTCTACACTCTGGGTTCTAGTGGCGCCCCCTTCCCCCTCCCTCCTACAGTCTGGTACCTAAGGCGGCCGCCTCAGTTCGCCTCATGGTAGGGCCAGCCGTCTATTACCCTCCTCCCCGTTTACATTTGACTATATCAGTGGAACATTTAAGGCAGGTCTACACTTAAAAAGCTGCACTTGAGTGAAGACCTAACTGCACCAACAGGAGAGCCCCTCTGTAACCTCCTTACATCAATGTAAGCTCGTAATGAAGTCCTAACTTAGACATGAGGGGTCTGGTTCACATTTACGTGAGACCTTTTACACAGCTCAGGCAATTTAAAGGCCTTACAGGAAGCATAAATTACAGTTACAGCCTAGTATCAGAGGGGTAGCCGTGTTAGTCTGAATCTGCAGAAGTGGCGAGGAGTCCTGTGGCACCTTATAGACTAACTGAAGTGTAGGAGCATAAGCTTTCATGGGCAAAGACCCACTTTGTCAGATGCATGTAGTGGAAATTTCCAGAGGCAGGTATAAATATGCAGACCAGAATCAGGCTGAGGTGGATCCAATCAGGGAGGATGAGGCCCACTTCTAGTAGCTGATCTGGAGGTGTGAATTCCAAGAGAGGAGAAGCTGCTTTTGTAGTTAGCAAGCCATTCACAGTCTTTGTTTAATCCAGAGTTGATTGTGTCAAACTTGAAGATGAATTGTAGCTCAGCAGTTTCTCTTTGAAGTCTGGTCCTGAAGTTTTTTTGCTGCAGGATGGCTACCTTTAGATCTACAATTGTGTGTTCAGGGAGATTGAAGTGCTCCCCTACAGGTTTTTTTATGTTGCCATTCCT